AACCATCAGCAAAATAATAAGAGAGCCCACTACATGGGAGGACATATATGCCAATGATACATCTGATAAGGGGTTAATCTCCAAAATATATAGGGAACTCATACAACTTAACAAAAGAAAGGCAAACAATTCAATTAAAAATTGGGCAAAGGACCTAAATAGATACTTCTCCACAATGGACATACAGAAAGCCAAGAGACATATGAAAAAATGCTCAAAGTCACTAATCATTGGAGGAGAACCAAGATGGCAGCATAGGTAAACACCTGTACTTGCTGCCTCCCTGAACCATATCAAAATTACAACTAAAATACATAACAACTATCATCCACAACCGTGGGGAACCTGGCTGAGAGGAAGAACTACAACTAGAAAAATAAAGAAGAAAGAGCATTGAGACTGGTAGGAGGTACGGAGGCGTGGAGGTGCGGAGGTGTGGAAGGGGCTGGCACCTGGGTGTGCTGCTTTTTAATCAGGAGAGAGATACAAGCTCCCACGTGCTCTGAGCTCCAGTGCCAGGCGAGACTTTGGGGGACCCAGACATGTACGGGGAGAAACCGGACTGTCTGGCATCAGGGCAGGAATGCAGGGGCAGCTTTCTTCCAGATGGAGGTGCATGCAGCAGCGGTCAGACCTCTCCAGTGCAGGACTGGCTGGCAGCCATTGCTGTTTGCTCTGCCCTGGAGACTCCCTGAGACCCCACCCCACCCAATTTACAACCTTACCCAAGCTGTGTGCAGCAGCCTTTGCATATGAATGACCTGTCCTTTCTCAGCCTAAAACCTGTCAAACTGAAGCTGGTTCAGGGAGCCCAACACTATCTAAAAAAGGCAAAGGCCAGCACTGCAGCAGCCTGCCTTGCTTCACAGCTGGCCCTCAACTGGGCACTTCCAAACCCCATACAAAGAGGAGGAATCTGAAGATCTCTCTGTAGCTCCTGCTGGGTGGCCCCAGGCAGTGGCTGACTTTGCACCTCCTTGGAGATCCAAGAGCCAGTGTACCCAGTGGTCAGTGTGAGACCATACCAGATTACAACTCTTCACATCCATAAGTGAAACACTAAAGGGGCAGACTCAGTGAGCACCAAAGCCCCACTGAAGCAAGTCCTGTCCCATAAGGGTATCTCCTGCACAGCAGCTCTTCCACTGTAGACACAGTTGGTCCTCACAGCCAATTGATCTGGAGGTAAACAAACACAGGGAAGCAGCCAAAATACGGAGACAAAGAAATGTTGTCACAAATGAAAGCAATGGAAGAAAGCAAACTACTGGATATAGAGTTCAAAACAAGTTATAAGGTTACTCAAGAATCTTCTAGAAACCTCCGAGAAACTTAGTGAGAACTTCAAGGAACTTAGTGAGACCTTCAAGGATCTTAGTGAGAATGCCAAAAAAATGGAAAAGGACCAGTCAGAAATTAAGCATACACTGACTGAAATAAAGAATAATACACAGAGATTCAACAGTAGAGTAGATGATCCCAAGAATCAAGTCAAAGATTTGAAATACAAGGAAGCAGAAAACACCCAACTGGAAGAGCAAAAAGAAAAAAGAATCCAAAAATATGAAGATAGTGTAAGGAGCCTCTGGGACAACTTCAAGCATACCAACATCCGAATTATGGGGGTGCCAGAAAAAGAGAGAGAGCAAGATATTGAAAACCTATTTGAAGAAATAATGACAGAAAACTTCCCCTACCTGGTGAAAGAAATAGACTTACAAGCCCAGGAAGCACAGAGAACCCCAAACAAAAGGAATCCAAAGAGAACCACACCAAGACACATCATAATTAAAATTCCAAGGGCAAAAGACAAAGAGAGAATCTTAAAAGCAGCAAGAGAAAAACAGTTAGTCACCTACAAGTAAGTACCCATAAGCTTGTCAGCTGATTTCTCAACAGAAATTATGCAGGCCAGAAGGGAGTGGCAAGAAATATTCAAACTAATGAACAGCAAGAACCTACAACCAAGATTACTCTACCCAGCAAAGCTATCATTCAGAATTGAAGGTCAGATAAAGAGCTTCACAGATAAGAAAAAGCTAAAGGAGTTCATCACCACCAAACCAGTATTATATGAAATGCTGAAGGGTATTCTTTAAGAAGAGGAAGAAGAAGAAAAAGGTAAAGGTAAAAAATTATGAATAACAGAGTGACAACAAATACATATCTATCAACAAGTGAATCTAAAAATCAAATGAATAAAAAATCTGATGAACAGAGTAAACTGGTGAATGTAATAGAATCAGGGGCATGGAAATGGAGTGGACTGACAATTCTTGGGGGGAAAGAGATATGGGGGGTGCGGGAAGAGATGGGACAAAGATCTTATATGCATGTATGCAGTACCTATGGACGCAGACAGTGGGGTGGTGAGGGCCTGGGGTGGGGTGGGAACCGGGTGGAGGGGAGCTATGGGGGTAAAAAAAAAGGGACATCTGTAATAATCTGAACAATAAAGATTAAAAAAATAAAAAGTCACTAATCATCAGAGAGATGCAAATCAAAACGACAATGAGATATCATCTCACACCTGTCAGAATGGCTATCATCAATAAATCAACCAACGACATGTGTTGGCTAGGTTGTGGAGAAAAGGGAACCTTAATACACTGCTGGTGGGAATGAAGGTTGGTGCAGCCATTGTGGAAACAATATGGAGATTCCTCAAAAAATTAAAAATGAAATCCCATTTGACCCAGTCATCCCACTTCTAGGAATGTATCCTAAGAAATCAGAAACGTCTATCAAAAAGAATATATGCACTCCTATGCTCATAGCAGTGCAATTTACAATAGCTAAGATTTAGAAACAGCCTAAGTGCCCATCAGCAGATGAGTGGATAAAAAAAACTATGTTACATTTACACAATGGAATGCACGGCAATAAAAAAGAAAGAACTCTTACCATTTGCCACAGTATGTATGAACCTGGAGAATTTTATGCTGAGTGAAATAAGCTAGTCAGAGAAAAGTAAGTATCTCATGATTTCACTCATATGTGGAATCTAATTAACTAAATAAACTGATGATCAAAAATAGACCCAGAGACATAGAAGCATGAAGATTGTTGAACCTCAGAGGGAAGGCAGGGGAGGGTAGGTGAAAAGAGATCAAACAATGAACTTGTATTCATATATGCATAATGCATGGACACAGACAATGGGGTGGTGAGGCCTGGGGTTGGGGTGGACAGGAGTGCCCTGGTAGAGGTTAATGGGGGATAAAGGAGAACCTATGTAATACTTTTAATAATAAAGATTTCTTAAAAATGTAAGGAACATGACTCCTGGGACCTATCACTTTTGTTCACAATTGTTCCACTGGTGCCTATAGTACAATGCCTGGTTCAGACTGGGCACTCAAGTATTTTCTGAATAAATCAATGACTATTTTTAGGCAATGAAAGACATAAATCAAATAATCAAGTAGAAGCTATAAAGAAATTTGATTTCATATAGATAGATATTGGTATGGACTGAATTGTGTTCTCTACCCAAATTCATACATTGAAACCCTAACCCCAATTGTGACTATAGTTCAAGATAGTGCTTTTATAATACAGTTAAGGTTAAATAAAGTCATAAGAATAAAGTCCTAATCAGATAGGATTGGTGGCTTCATAAGAGGAAGAGATTAATTTTTTAATGTTAAACCAAGCTTGTGTTCCTAGAAAAAACCCTACTTGGTCATCATTTTTGTATCTGCTGAATTTGATTTGCTTTTTTTGTGTATAATATCTTTGTCAGGTCATAGTATAAGAGTTATATGGTCTCGCCCTGGCTGGTTTGGCTCAGTGGATAGAGCGTCGGCCTGTGGACTGAAGGGTCCCGGGTTAGATTCCCGTCAAGGGCATGTACCTTGGTTGCGGGCACATCCCCAGTAGGAGGTGTGCAGGAGGCAGCTGATCGATATTTCTCTCTCATCGAGGGGTCTAACTCTCTATCCCTTTCCCTTCCTCTCTGTGAAAAATCAATAAAATATATATATTAAAAAAAAGAGTTATATGGTCTCATAAAATGAGTTGGAAGTTGTTCTCTCCTTTTCTACAGAGAGGAGGTAATTCTGCTTTAATTTCTTAAATATTCATAGAATTAACCAGTGAAATCATCTGGGCCTGACATTTTTCTTTGTGGAAATATTTCTGATAATTCAATTACTTTAATAGAAATAAGATTATTCATATTTCTTTTATCTTCTGCAATTCTGGTAGGTATATTTTTCAAGGAATTTTTCA